TGCCCAAGAAACCCAATGCCAAAGAATGTTCCGACCATCGAACAATTACCCTGATGAGTCACACACTGAAAGTGTTTTTGATAATTATTTATAATAGAATTTTTGCTAAGGTGGACTCAGAAATCAGTGATAACCAAGTAGGGTTTAGAAGAGGCATGGGTACGAGAGAGGCTCTGTTTAGCATAAATGTTTTAGCAGAGAGGTATATTGATATGAATCAGGACCTGTATGTGTGTTTTATAGATTTTGAGAAGACTTTCGATAAAATTCAACATCATAGACTAATTGAAATACTTAAAGGCATGAATATTGATAGCCGAGATATCAGGATAATAGCAAATCTTTATTGGGGGCAAACAGCGAAGGTTATAGTGGACGACCAACTTTCTGATGAAGTAAAGATTCTCAGCGGCGTTCGTCAAGGATGTATACTCAATTTTTCGGGAGGCCTTGGCTAGTAGAAAGGACGGCATCACTATTAATGGGCAGGTCTTAAATAATATGCGGTTTGCGGACGATACCGTCCTTATAGCAGACAACGTGGCAAACGCTTCTACAAAGACTAAACAACACGTGTAGATTCTATGGCCTGAAAATGAACCCTAAGAAAACTAAATTTATGATCATCACTAACAGAGAAGATGTCCAAGCCAATGTTCTAATAGATGATACACCTATGGAGAGAGTACAAAAATATAAATATCTAGTCAGTTGGTTGACCGAAAACTTGGATCAATCAGCAGAAATAAAAGCTCGAATAGAAATAGTCAGAGCAGCCTTTGTAAAACTCAAAAAATGTCTCTGCAGTGGAGACATCAACTTAAAGCTTAGATTAAGAATGCTAAGGGGTTACATATTTGCAACTCTATTCTATGGTTCAGAGGCTTGGACACTTAAAAAGGCCGAAATGGAGAAGCTTGAGGCATTCGAAAGATGGTGTTATTGGCGTATGCTGAGGATTGCATGGACTGACAAGGTTACAAATGTAGAACTGCAACGCAGAATTTAAAAGAGGACGAAGAGGTGATTAACACCCTTAAAAAGAGAAAACTTGAGTACTTTGGACACATAATGAGAGGACCTAAATATGCCCTGCTGCAGAACGTAATAGAAGGAAAGATAAAGGGCAGAAGGAACCAAGGAAGAAGAAGAACATCATGGCTCAAGAATTTGAGTGAATGGTTTGGAATGACTTCAAACCAGTTATTCAGAGCAGCCGTTAACAAAGTTAAAATTGCCATGATTATTTCCAACCTCCATTAGGAGATGGAACCCGAAGAAGATGAAGGAGTACAGAAGGTCTAAAGTAAATAACTAATATAGTTTTGATTTCAGGACAGTTCTTGAATTTCTAATATTGTTTTAAGAAAGGCTGAAAAATATATAGTTTTTATTTATTCATTAATATCTCTAAAACTATCGAAATATATTTATGCATATCTTAGGATTGTATAAAGTGATCTGAAAGGAAGCTAAAAATACAATAATATACTGGGTGTTCCAGTTAAAAAAATCATACTGATCCACTCACTTTTTTTGAGCCACCCTTCTTCTTCTTATCACGCCCTCTCCTGCCGAAGGTTGGCAATCCAAATGGCAATTGTGGCTCTGGAAACTGCAGCCCGGAAGATTTCCGCAGACGAGCGTTCAAACCATCTCCTTTAATCTTTTAGTCATGAGTTCTGGTGTCTTCCTACTGATATTTTCCCTTGCACTTTGCCCTCTATTATGAGGCGCAGTATTTCGTATCTATCACCTCTCATCATATGACCCAGGTATTGCATTTTTCTTTCCTTGATGGTGTTCAGTATCTCTTTTTGTTTCTGCATGCGCTGGAATACTTCATCGTTGGTGATCTTTTGTACCCATGAGATGCGCAGCAGGGCCAGTCAACTGAGATATACGACCTTGAACGATCTTTTTTTGGGGTAGTAATTTCCTGGGGCGCTAGATGGCGTATTTTTATTTTAATTTTTCTTGTTGCTTAACAATTGCATACAAAATTGTTTTTATAGTTGCCTAAATAGGCCTATTAATTATGTTCTGTCATTGTTCTGTATGTCAAATCAGTTTTCCGTTTCCGGCTTCCTCCTTCCTCTTCAGTTGTGTTTTGCAATTGAACGGAGATGTGCGTTTTGCTGTTTTCTGGATGTTTGGCTGTGTTTTTTGCAATCTTCATTTTACAATCGTGATTTTGTATTTTTGAATTTTTTTGAACTTTGTTTTGTGTTTGATTTTTAAGATCTTTATTAAAGGTAAGGTTTAAGTTAAAGGTCTTTGATTTATCTAACAATTTTATTTAATAATCCAAGAAAGTAAGGTGAGGTAACCTAACCAAGTCCAAATGTTCGTGAATTTTATTTTTTAACAATGTAATATTTACAACGCCATATATTTTTACAAAAAAAAATTGATCAACTCCATATTTTTGTACATAAACTCCACAATGTGATATTACACAATTGTTCAAGTCCATATGTAAAAAATACACGTAAATAAAACATTATTGTTTCTAATGGACGTCACTTTCTCTTGTATTCCAACGATATTTGTTATGTGTTCTTAAATCTGGTACTATAATAAATATTATACTTTTTAATCTGTTGTTTTATTTGTTTGTAAAATGTTTCATGGTATAATTTTCTGTAAATTAAATTAAATTATTTATTGTAGATTTTTATGCACATAAAATGATATAAGCCAACCATTTAACACTTTACAATAGTTTAACCTGGTTTAACCTTTATATATAAATCCTTGTTTTTTACCATTTGACTTGTTTGCCAACTTGGACCAATCAGATGACTACACATTATTTTGTAGAAATCTGATTGGCTCTAACTGGCGAACAAGTCAATACGTCTTGCTTAAAAATAAATTGCATCTATTTAAATTTGCCGCCACATTTGTTACTTTCCTGGGTGGCTAGATGGCGCCACTTCAACATACAGATTACAGATTTCTTTACAAATTTGAAACCTTTTTGAAACTAAAAAATGCATGGGAGTTAGCGTTCTTCTTTAGTGTGTTCTGTGATACGCAGCATCCGTCTGTACACATACATTTCGAAGGCTTCTATTCTCTTTTCGGTCTGTGAATTTAGTGTCCAGCTCTCACTTCCATAGAGTAACACAGATAAGACGTAGCATCTGGCCATTCGAGTTCTGAGTTTCGCACTGAGGTCTCGTCTTGTAAAAAATGATTTCATACTAACGAAGATTTTCCTCGCTTGTTCAATTCTTGAAAGCCTACCCTTGAGCCACCCTATAGAAGTTAAAATATTTTCCTGAAATACACCCTCGTATATATTTTAGGTTTACACTGAAACAAAATTCCCAAGTTTTTTATTCTATGAATTACAAAAATATTGGACTAAATATGCAAGGTATTACGAATAAAAAATTTAAACAGTTTTTGGAAATTCTTTTTCTTTTTTCCCAAACGATTACCAAATAAAAAAGAAAACCCCGACGAAAGCCGTATACCGCAAAGGTTCGAACTGTAAATAAGCTTTCCCCATTTAATTTGCCGCTTGTTACGGCACCACTCAGAGGTCGCTCGTGTTGCTAAAGTGCACTTTAAGCTCTTTTACGTCGCCGTTCTCTCTTTTTACACCCCTCCTTCCGCCCCCCGCGCTGCCTCCCTACTCAAACTTGTAGAGCTGCGCTGACGGGCTTTGGCGTAATGAGAAACGCAGAAAGAATATGCGACGAGAAACAACCGGCTAGGTTTGTATTTCCGAGGCTAAGCAGCGGAAAGTATACAGACTCGATAAATACGTAATAAAATTTCGATGTATTCTTTAAGCCGACGCCGACGGCCACACAGAAAGCGTTTTTTGTTTTTTTTTGCGTGTGGAGCGCTTTTGCGATTTTACCGTTTGAAGATTTTATTTCGATTTTTGTCCATTAAAAACAAGCAAAAGAAGCGGCAGATCTCCAGTCAAATATACCGGGTGGCCAACTAAGAATGGACGCCGGCTGTATCTCAAAAATTACTTATCGTATAACTTTGGGAAAAAAATTCTAATAAGTAAATCGACCAAGAAAAATCGCTAAAAATTATTTTCAAGTTCGAAAAATGTCCGCTAGGGGGCGTATATCAAAACATATAATTTAATTTCATTTTAGTACAATTTAATTGCTATTTATCCATGTTCGTTCTTGATTGGACCCCATAACTTAAAACCCAGACATATTGAATCCGATGACCTAGCTGGCCATGGAAATATGCCGCTCCAGAGCCTCTCTCTACTAAATTAAGTGGTATCCAAGAAGCCCCACATATTCATAGCAAAATAAGCGGCAAAACTGCACCAACTACACCAACTGCATCCATGCTGATGAAATTGCAACAAATGCAGTTTCATCATGATGGATCCTATAACAAAATTGGCAATTTATCTCTTAGAAATTATGGATAGTTAATTTCATTCAGATAATTAAAAAAGTCCAGTCATTCGTCATTCTAGAATTCCTGCCTAAACATTTACCGACCAACGGAGTTGGTGCTGAACTACTTGCAAAACTTTATAATATAATAATAAATAACATAAATAACAGATAAAACATAAAAACAAGTGAAATCAAGGACGAACTTGGATTAATAACTAAATGACGTTACATGAAATAAGCCCCTAATTTTCGGCAATACGAAATTCGGCCGTTTTCTGATAAAAGCAATATGGCGGCAGAAAATTCCTAGAAATTTTAATAAAATTCTTGATTGTCCTGTTATTAAATATTTTGCTTCTACATCTTTCCGTTTTCGTATAATCAACCGAGGCGAATAAGGTGCGCCACCCTGTATAACTTATTCATTTCTGATATTCAGTATTTACAGCCAAAACGTCTAATTTAAACATTTACTCTACGAATTCGTCTTAATTAGGACTAAATCCAAACAAGGGAGGTGGTAGCATGCCTCAGACTTAACGCAACCTTCGACTTTTTGCCCAACTTCTCTCTCTCTCAATCTAATTCGACCTAATTTTGTTTCAGAACATCCTCGACAAGTTCAATCCGGGAGCGAGGCAGATGATTAACGCCGGCAAGGCTTACCTTAAGGCTTTGCACAGTAAGTATTTGTTTTTGCACGGTGCCAGGGTAAATTGATAAAGAAAACTGCGAATAGCGACGGGCAGGAATGTTCTTTTGCAGCGGCTCGACGCTAAACATTATTGACATAAGCAAATTCTGCGAGCTTTATTAAAACAGGATGAACGTTGTATTTAATCAGTATTAAAAGTGTATGCTTTAGAGAAATATAACTTTAAAATGTTATTCTTCTATTTTTACTATGAAATTGAACTACCGGATCTGTGTCTATGAAAGGAATGCAGACACAATATTGTGTATTGAGTATGATCAATTTACTGCAAAACACATTTACATAAACAACAATAGATTTTATAAATCGCTTTTATGGTGATGGTCGCTTTGAACATTTGTAATAACAACTGGATATTATTTTTTTATTATTTTTAGTAGGAGTCGTCATTTTCTTGACAACTTCTTGATCTTGTCTTGATTTCGAGACAAGACAAGAAATTACTTCTCAAGATCAAGATTTCTTGACAAGAAATCAAGAAAATCTTGAAATTTCTTGAAAATATAAAATAAAAAAGAAATACTCATTTACTTAGGTATTATTTGTCTATTATATTATGAATATCCATTAATTGATTGATAAAAAAATTATTAGGCAAAAAATATTTGTACGAAGCGGCACTTTGTCGGATGTCCAATGTCCAAAGTTGACCTAAGTATGTACAGAGTGGTCGAAATTGGTCTGTTTTAATCAAGAAAACCTATTTCCTGACTACATAGAGCAAAACCGACATAGATGTCATGGGCTCGATTTCTGAGACAAGTTTAATGGCGTAAACCGCCTGTTGATATTTTCGCTGTCAACTGAGATACGGTGTCTTTTTGAATTTTTTACCATTCTGAAAATTGCCCATAACTTTTTTATTTTGCGGAATAATAAAATTCTGTAAAAACGTTATTAAGGCACTTTTTTAGGCACAATCCAGTGGCGTAGTCAGTTTTTTTCTATGCTTGCTTTTTTTGTCAGAAATAATAAAAAATATAATTTTTTAAATTGAAATCATAGTTGACTATGAACTTAAAAAATGCTGGCGTTTAACCCTTTCCAGCGATATAAAGTTATGTGTATTTATTTCTAAGAATGAGAGAAATATTAGATTTTTATCTTTGTGTCGAAGCGGGCCTTGGTTTTGTTTTGACCTATAGTTGCCTAATTATTTTTTATCACAATTTAATATTCTATATTATTATTTATCTGCATAATTAAAGATTTTTGGAAAGGTAAATCAACATTCTATATTAGTATTGCCATTTACAATTAAAACGCCACGGTTACAACTGCACTATTAAATGGAGAATTTAGAGAGAATTGGATTAGAACAAAGGGTTCCATATCTTGGGCCCCATATCTAGGCCTGCTAGGTCCAGTAATTTAACTCCTTTCAACTTTTTTATGGGGGAAATTAAAACACCTTATCTATAAGGGAAGAACCAGTGGGACGAGAGAAGAATTGCAGAAGATTACTAGGAGAGCTTTTGGACTTATTACACTAGTTCGCCTAATAAAACGTTGTAACTCTGTGCGTAAAAGATATTTATTGTATATTCAACAAGGAGGTGCTCAGTTTGAACAACTTTGATGATTTTTTTTAGAAAACTATATTCTCCACACAAAAAATACCTTTTTTTAGTCTTGTTCTTTGTTTATTGTATCGATTTCAATTGTAATGACTAATACTAATATAGAAAGTTAATTTACCTATCCAAAAGTCTTTAATTATGCAGATAAATAATAATATTGAATATTGAACTGTGATAAAAAATAATTAGGCACGTAGGTGAACACAAAATCAAGGCCCGCTTCGATATACAGATAAAAAACCTAATATTTTTCTCATTCTTAGAAATAGATACCCCTAACTTTATATCTTTGAATAGGGTTAAATACGCCACTGGATTGTGCTTAAAAAGTGCCTTAAGAACGTTTTTACAGAATTTTATTATTCTGCAAAATAAAAAAGTTATGGGCAATTTTCAAAATGGTAAAAAATTAAAAAAGACCCCGTATCTCAGCCGGCAGTGAAAATATCAACAGGCGGTTTATGCCACTAAATGTGTCTCAGAAATCGAGCCCATGACACCTATGTTGGTTTTGCTCTATCTAGTCAGGAAATAGGTTTTCTCTGTTACAACAGACCAATTTCGACCACCCTGTACATCTAAAGTCGGATGTCCAAAGTTGGCCTACTGTGGGCCAAATTAAATTGGAACCTTTTTTAATGGATAATAATTTTTTTATTTTTAAATGTTTTTTTTATAATTTTTTGGATATGTTATGGCCTACGATATTAAAATAAAAATAAACTTTGCAAAGCGGGTCTACTTCAGTGGCATACAGACATTTTGAATTAACGTAAAACTTTTAAAATAAACAAAATAATACATTTTAATGCACGCCACTGAAGGAGACCCGTTTTAGAAAGTTCTCTTTAGTCTTTAAATCAACATCTTAGGCTATAAACTATCACATAATAATAAATTTTTTAGATATTTAGAAAAACTGCAATAAGTATAAAAACTATTTATTGTTTTATAAGAAAAAAATAAATAAATGTTTATTTTTGTAATCAAAATTAAGAAGTAGTTTTCCTAATGAGCTCATCATTAGTCATTACTCAAAATAGTTGGTATCTTTTATTTTATTAGATTATTGGGATTTTGGCTACTGTAGTATAATGAGCCCAAAGTTTTTGAATTTTTTGAAAATTAAATGCCTGACCCTCGATTTTACGCATCAAGCGTAAACATCACATTAACCAATCTCACCGCGACTTTTAAACAGGGGGTTCCCCTTTAATAAACGAATTTTAAACGGGGGTTCCCCTTTTGTCAAGATATCAAGAAATTTCAAGATTTCTTGAATCAAGACAAGAAACCAACTCTCAAGAAATGGTCAAGACAAGTTTTTTTTTTATTTTTGAAAATATTTCAAGACAAGACAAGAAATTGCTTGTCAAGACAAGATTTCTTGTCTTGCCGATCCCTAATTTTTAGGTGGGACTGCACTGTTCTCCAAGCTCGGTCTACTACCGTTTTAATCGATCTTTCTCGTAAAAAATAGACGATGCGTCCCTTCAATAAAAATTCGACAAATTTGCAAGTAGCCAATAAGTAAGGAGTGTGTTTCGAGGTGACATACTCGTCAAGCCCACCCGTAGATTCTCTTACGCGTATATACAGGGTGCGTCTAAAAAGTGGCTCACTCCTATAACTTTTTTTATTTTTTCAGATAAAAAAACGATATTTGGTATGTTAGTATATGACCTAAAATGGGAAAGATTATGACTTATTCAATTGTTTTTGGTCACTTCCTCTTTCACCGGAAATGACTACAACTTTTTATTTTTAAATGGCACCCTCGGTATATGTTTACTTTATTCGATAGAAAATGGCACTCTGAACAGAATGACATTTCATATATCAACTTTTGACATTTTCGCACATGGTTTATTTCAGGGGCGGGAAAGTGAAATAGCAAAAGCTGTTCCACTGTTTCCACGGAAATTTCAAATAATTTTTTTCCAGCCCCGATCGCTAGGTGGTAGTGCAATTAATTTTTAGGTTAGGAAGTTGCCACTAGTTATTGTCAGATAGCGTTAAATCAGATTTTTTTGTAGTTTCCATAGTTTTCAATGGCCATTGTGATACCATTGTCAAAAAATATTGTCGTTGTCATAGTATCAAAACGATTTTCAAAGTATAATTTTTATTATATGTGTTTTAATTAGACAATTATTTTTATTTGTGGCCCTAAAATATAATGTAAGTCTTCTATTTTTTCTATCATTTAAATACCTATTTATATTTAGTCCATTTACATAATTTTGGGCGTCTTGTTTTGGTCTTTTTATTATAATAAATTATGTTTATATATTATTTGAGTTCTATTTTTTATATGTATAGTTTTTACTATTAAATTTCATTTTTTTTTTGAACACATAGCAACGCTTTGCATTAGATTTGTTAATGTTGTGTCAAAAATAACTTTTAAGATGGTTTTAATATTTAAAATGATAGTTTTGAATGAAATTATATAAATGAGCGTATTTAAAATCAGCCCCTCACAATAGATGGCGCCACTAACATGGACCCATTTTTTAGTAAGGCACTTTCCTTCCTTTTTCTTGGTATATTCTTTGGTTTATTTGAAATAATTGTAACATGCGGTTCATAACGACAACTTGACTCGAAATACCAAGTGTGTGGTACCAAATTATTTGTAAAAAAATGCTTTTTCCAAATATGTTAATAAGCTCTACTATTATGAAAATATTACTCTATTTGAAAAAAAAATGAGATATGATTAAAAATACGATTTCGGCGTCTTTTAACCGGCCAGGACAAGACACGAAAAACATTAAACGATCAAAACTATTTTTCCAAGGTTCCTTGATTGAAAATTAGTATTTTTAGCACATCACTCTAGATTAAAATTTAAAATAAGATTTTTTTAAAGCGAAAATGTCAAAAGTTGATTAATGTCATTCAGACTGTAATTTTCTATCAAATAAAGTAAAAAAATACCGAGGGTCACATTTAACAATCAAAAATTGTAGTCATTTGCGGTGTTACAGGAAGCAATCAAAAACAATTGAATACGTCAATCAATCCTAATTTATGTCATATACTAACATACCAAAATTTGTTTTTTTTTATCTGAAGAAATAAAAAAGTTATAGGGGTGAGCTATTTTTGAGACGCACCCGGTATAATCGTATACGTGTTAGAGAGCCTACGGGTGGAGTTGACGTTTATGTTACCTCGAAACACTCCTCGTTATTGGCTACTTGCAAATTTGTCCAATTTTTATTGAAGGGACGGCTCATCAATTTTTTTTACGAGAAAGATCGATTAAAAACGGTAGTAGACCGAGCTCGGAGAACAGGGCAGTCCCACCTAAAAATATTAAAAAAATAATATCCAGTTGTTATTACAAAAGTTAAAAGCGACCATCATCATAAATTTATT